GGCCAGGCTCTTGTCACTGAGCACCGCTGAAGAGAGGCATCAAGCACGAACTGAAACATAAGAAGTTCTACACAAAATTGGAAAAAAAACAAAACAAACAAACAAAAAAAACCAAAAAAAAAAAAAAAAAAACCAAAAAAAAAAACCACACCCTACTTTGAAAGTGACAAAGCATTAGAACAGGCAGCTCAGAGAGGCTGTGGAGTCTCCTGCTCTGGAGATATTCCAAATCTTCCCGGATGATTTTCTGTATAATCTACTGTAGGGAACCTGTTTTAGCAGGGAGTTGGATTGGTTGATTTCCAGAGGTCCTTTCCCAACTACAATTCTGTGACCCCGTTAATAATGCACCACAGCAATAGCTATTTCAATCCTTTTATCCAGTTGTTCTACCTAAGCAGTGACAAGCTGAAAACAACGATGCACTCTCTTTCTAAAAACTATGCCTGAAATAACAGGAAGAGCAAAGATGCAAATCACAGATCAAGGGGTGAGACAATCGCAAGACAAAACATGAGCTTTCAAGCATTCTGAAATAGATCTGCAGCAGCAGACTACAAAGCAATTTTAAGAACAACAAAAAATAACAATTCCAACAAAAAACAATACACAAAAACATCCACAACAGTAAGTGCCTGCAGCCTCAATACGTAAAAATAAGTCTTAAAAGTGGAAGGGGGGGAGCAAAGGGACACAAAATGACAGTCCTGGGCAGAGATACTTGAGGCATCTAAACGGAGATGTAATGGACTACCTGAAGGCTTTGGACCATTAGGACTTTTACTGGAAAACAGAGCTGAAACATACAGAAAGAGTATCTTCCACCACAGATGGCCATAAGCAGTTCAGACTTCCAGGTCTTAGAATTCTCACTGTATATAACTCAGTTCCTGTAAAACAATGTTTCTAGTAGTTTACAACATACAGAAAATCCTAAACATATGAATCAAGTTTCAGCCATCATCTACCAATTCCCAGCTGCTCAATCCTTTCACCCTTCTTGTACAAGCTTCAAAACTCTTGATCATGGAAGCAAACTGATTCAGTTTGCTAACAGAGAAGAAGAATGTCCACGTTTTCTTCTTGGCTCGTTTCCTACTTGTTTAACATACCAAATCATCTCAGTGCAGACTGGGACAAAGCTAGACGCAAGGCTGAACGTGAAGCATGAGGTTGGGAAGAGAACAAGCTCTTCCTTTTGAGTGACAGTTAACTAGAATACTAAATAGCTGGAAACCTGCTCTGTTCATCCCTTCTCTAAAGATGTAACGCTGTGCACTGGAGGAGTGCAAAAACACTATCCAGATTATATTGTAGTCCTGGGAAGAGAAAAGGCTCAGAACATTCATCTGAAAAGACTTGATCTTGGCAGAATCCACTCGTAAGTGCTCAAACAGAATAGGTTCCTCTACTGCTGAAGACGAGACAGGAGTTTAAAAGTCTTATTGCAGAGATTTTAAATACCAGAAAACAGAGCAGTACAAGGGGAATCAGTATTACAAAACTGATTAAAAGGCACCAAACGCTTCTTTTTTTAAGGAGTTAAAACCTGGAAGACAAAACACGGCAAGTGAATAAAATAACCCTCACTTCTGATAAAATAATTATAAATATATAAATAAAAATTATAAATATAAGTAAAAATAAATAGCAGTAGCTAAATATTTTCAAATCTGTATTTCTGAATTATTTTTTAATACAGTAAAAGAAAGGATTTTTTTTATTATTATTATTTTTATTTTTTTTACTCCTCCAGTTATTTTAAGGTATTTATGATCCTGATGGTCTGCTAAGTTTCTAGAGGTCCTAGAAACAATAGGCCAACAAGAACTTGCATTACAAATGAAATCCCAAATGAACTTTCTCAGTCTCCTGTGCAGCTGCAGCTGAAAATGGAATATTACAGTGGTCATTCAGTTCAATACTCAGCTATTCAGCTGTCTTTTTAGAATGATTGGGATTCACGAGGCTTCATTCTAAGTGTACAGCACAACATAATGCTGAACTCTTTACCACAGAGGCAAAAAATTACACCAGCTTTCCCCAACAAAGGTAGATAATATGCAACTCCGCTATCACAAAGTAACAAGGCATATTTAAAAAACATGATGCCACAGGTGGTTCTTTCCTTAAAAAAAATAATTAATTTTAACAAATGTCTACATTAACAACAACAAAGGCAAAAACCCCATCAAAAAGCCTTAATATTCATTTTATATAAATTCTTCATGGCAAGTGTTTGTGTAATCTGCTCTTTAGAAGTTACTGACACAGAAATCGTATGGTTTCCTTAGTCCTTAGCTTTAAAACCTTAGATGTTGTTAACACTGGCCAGAATTTCAAATAAAATCAGAACTAAAAATCAAAAAGACGGGACACTCTTCATAACGTATGATACCTACATTAAAAACTGAACTTCTCACAAGAATATTTCTTTCAGATATCACAAAAGTGTCTTATTTTTCCAAAACAGAAGCCCCCACATCTTAAACTAACCCAGACCAAAAGCAATTGTGAGTTTCATTGCACTATCCTGACGTATGCTAATCAAGTAACAGATACTCTTTCCCCTAGATGTAAACAAACATCTGAACTCCCACTGCCCAATGATACACAAAGCATTTGTCAAATAACAAAGAAGTACAGAACTATTTAAAAATCTATGAGAAATGAAAAGTAATCTCACAGCTCTTTTATTTATTGTATCTTAAGTCTTTGTTTTGTTTCCTAAAGATATAATTTTCTTCAGCTTTGCAACAGATGTTGTCTGGAGGAAAGAGGAGACATCTCAGTACTACAGAAATCCCTTCCTGGATATCCATCACAGCTTTTAAGTAGTACGGACAGTTTTGTCTCAAGAGGAGCTGAGTGTAATGAACAATGTTCCTGCACTCCACCATGAAAAGGTCCACACGTACTTATATTCAAGGGTAGTAATCTATTTTAAAACAAGAATTTATTGTGTTATAGTATAAAGACACTAAACACAAAAACAAAGTCTTTAACAACATTAACATTGACACAAAATAAAAGCAAGATCATTTCAAGCCAATTCTGTAACCATTTCATGTGAGAAACTCCGAGCAAAAGAAAGTTACATACACAGGCTCACCCTATGGAAAGGATGGCACCACCTTCATCTAATTTAAACCCCCTTTCAGGGCACCACTGTATTGTCAGAATAGTTGCATTAATTTGAGGGCTCGAGTGGTATGTAAGCCTTGTCCTTGCCCTCTCTATATAGGAGAACTTACCAATAAATCTACAAGAGAACCAATGAATGCATTTCTACTGTAAACTAAAAGACTTGAGGTAAATTCTAATCTACCTTGGATTTCTTTTTCTCTTATTACAGAGGATTTCATTGAAGAGCAGCATAAATTTAGTTAACTTCATTGTAGTCCATGTGATAGCATAGATAAAAAAAAAAACCATAATGCTTTGCATTACATCGCACAACTCCAACAAAATACATACAGTATGTCATAAAGCTTCTTTGAAATCATGTATTGTAGAACAGCAATCCAACATCTGAAAAGATTTAAGTATCTGAGAAGATGCACTTTAACCATTTCTTCAGACACATTACCTTGTATCAAAATAAGGTCTCTTCACTGTGGACTATCTGAAAGGATCCGTTATGTGAACCAGTTGTATGAAAATACATGAATTCTCAAAGATGTGACAATCCTTTCAATCAATAATAGAGAGCAGTTAACAAGAATATACAGATTAAGTATTCAGATCACTGCTCATTCATATGAAACATTTCCAAAAATAACAGATTTGATTAACTTAAAGCAATAAAATTTATCTAAATAAGAAATTAGGAGCACAACTACTTCATTTGCTTAAAATGATTATTTTTGGCTCTTAAAAGAATCTGAATTCTAGATTTTAAAGGCTCTTTGTGAAAGTATATATACACACCAAATTTATATTCAAAACTAGATTTTACCATTGCGTTTTAAAGGCCAAGATATATTTTCAATACAGTAGAAAAAATAGCAGTTCCTGAAGTATATTGTAGCCTCACTTCACTGACAGTATCAATAATTGCTGTACAAAATACTTCTCCAAAGCAAATCCATTTGAACTCTATCCACCCTGAGTTATGCTTCTTCATTTTTAAAAATGTTTTCAACATTAGATAACAGAGAAGTATGTACAAGGCTATAAAATTTGTCAGTTACTATACAGCAGTTAAAAAACTCAGTACTATCAGCCAATTTTGTTTTTGTAGTTATTCAGTTTGGGTTGTGTCACTGTTGATTTTCTGTTTGTTTTTTTAATCAAGCAGTCGCTTCATCTGAACATTCACATATTGACCACTTGGTTCTTTATTTTTGATCGCAACAGTAAGGCAACAGTAAAAATAAAAGTCATAGAAATTTTGCATACGTGTAAAGGTATTAAGTTTATAAAAGTGCTTCCTAAAAAGATAACCTAATTGCAGTATCAAAATATTACAGAGTGGTGAGAACAACTATCTATTATTTCAATAAAATGTTGCTCCATAGAAAATACATCAATCTGGTTTTAGGCTTTTTCATCTTTTTTTTT